TATATATATATATAAAAACTTTTTGTTTGGTTTTGGTTTTTTGTTTTTTTCTTTTTTTTAAATCTGCCCAACAATCACCACAGTGGTCTATACCCATTACAGTCTGACATAACCAGAAGTAAGAAGAGAATATCCTAAGCCCACTTGTTCCTAGACAGTAAACTTGCTGTACTGATGACAAGCAAAGATAATTACAAATGGGTGTGAACCCAAGCTCTGTACCAGCTCTGCAGAAATAGTCAAGGAAGAAATAGTAGCAGTAGTCACAATACCAAGTAAAGGGGATGGTAGGACAGGACAAGAAGATGAATGCAATCTTCTCAAGTGAGATTCAACTTTAAAAAACCCAACACCAAACACCACACAGGCACTCTTACTCAAAAGTCTCACTGCATCTGTACTTGTAGTTTTCTGCCTCAGAGCACTGGTATATTGTCACACTCTGGCATATGCAGCAAGTGCTTAAAAACATTCAGCCTAGTTTTAAACATGAAAACATGTTCTCTAAGTATCCCTCATGCTTTCAAATTCTTGCTTTTTGAAGACTATAAAACATGCATTAAGAAAAATGGATCTTTTCTTTTGATTGCTTTCCTCTTTTTCCGGGGGACAGGAAAGAAGATTTGCCAGGAAACCCAACTAGCTTACAGGAATTTTCTAACCAAAGCTGTGTGCAAACTAGACTGGTACTAAAATGCCTAGAAATGATCCTGTGGGTGCTACAAATAGGGAAACTGTATTCTGTGAAGCTAACCTACATTATTAAGCTATATGCAACAGTGAAGAGATAAGATCCAGAAATCAAATTCTATCTCCTCTTTCCACAGCCAAATCACTAAACCAGCAACAAACCCCAATTTATACTTTGTTTTTATAGGAAAGAAACTTTAAGAACAGATTTACATTAAACAGCAGAGACAACAAAATTGGTTTGAAAATTCAGATGTTAAAAGGAACTCACTGCAATATGGATTCACACCCATTTTTTATTAACAAAGAAGGTGGCAGGAAAAAAACAATTGCATTTCTGAGTTGTGCCAGAAGGTATGCTTGAAGCTTTAAGAACATGATCTTCTACATATTTATATGAAGCCTTGTTCTTCCCCTCCTACCTGCCTTCCAGACTTTTAAGTCCACGATAAGGTCTGGATTCATAATTCAGGCCTAAAATTACTATCTCCAAAACCATAGATAGCAAATGCACTGTCAATAGGCTCTGAAAAAAAGTAGGAATCATAAGTGACAGTCACATACTGGAAGGGCTCCAAAATTACCCTAGCACACGTAACAGGCTCTTTATTGTATAAAGATTAAAAACAGCAGGTCATCAAGGAACCTTAATAAGCAAGGAGGAATTCTTTCCTCTACAGTATTATTCTGTAGAAACATGGGACAAAAATTCAGGTCATAGTAGTGACTCAAAATGCCCTTTTTACTTTGTCCCTTTGAAAGGTTTCAAGGAACTTAAGCAATCCAGTCATCCTAATCACTGACAACAGGCATCATTATATTGTTTGTCTTTGTGATAAAGAGTAGGTACCTCAAAAAAACCAACAAAAAACTCAAACCAAAAAACTAAACACTACAGTGCAATGGCTTTCAATGTAAGTGTTGAAACTTGATATGGCAGCTAAAAACAGACTTAGTTTTTTGTAGTTAGCTCCAATCAGACACTGAAACAAAACCAGAGGTCTCTATAGATGTGAAACAGTCCCTTCCCCATATTAAGATATCGGGTATTGGGTGAGCTAACCTACTTAAATGATTTGAATGGTATAAAGGTTTATTGATACAAAAAGAAAACCCAATGAACATAGTTCTCCAGTTCTCATACCTCTTTCTTCCTCGTGCTTTTTGGCTGAGGCACTCTTAGGTCTTCCTCTTCCTCGTCTGCTATGATCTGAATGGCTGTTAGACCTGGATCTTTTTCGGTTTTCTAAGTCTTTATTTACTGCAGAATTTATCTTCTCTCGCTTAACTCTCTCTGTCCGTCTCCTTTTGGCCTCACTCTTGTTTTCTGTGCAAATGAATAGAGATGGTATGATCTAGGGTTGTTTTCATCTTTGTTCTTAATTTATTCTTAGTGCTTACCCTACCCAATCACCTTTTTTTCTTTAAATAACTTAGCAAAAGTGGTTAGATGTCTATACCTTTACACAACAATTACATCTGCATGATATCCATGCAAAAATTAAGGTGTCAGATCTAGAACGGCACTTCTTGATTACAAGGATCAAGCCTTTACATAACTACTTCAAATGCATTTTGCAACACGAGACATCTGCTAGTGTACAGGAAGTTCACTGTTTCCCATGCAAAGATGGAAAAAACTATCAAGACAGCCCATTGCATTTGTTTCCACTAACCCAGAAAAAAAGTTTAACATATAGGCAAACAGCAAAGTACTTCACCTTTTAACACTAACAGTGAAAACATTCCCACTGGTCACAGAAATCAAAATGCTGAGTCAACAACGCTGTCAGTGAATGCCACATTACACAGCATACATGTCCCACCAAATCTAGCCTATGACAAGGCCTCAGAATACTTAATGCTGAACAGGTGTATTGTTTTCCTACACACCAGAGTAAAAAAAGATAGTATTTACATAGGCATTAATCAGCTTGGGTACTAAAATAGTACAGTCACCACAACACACTATTCTACACAATCTAGCTGTACATTGGCAAGGCTGCAGCACCGTTCTGTGGTAGCTATATTGTTGAAAATACAGGAACAACGTTTTCTGAAAGAAGCTGCAGTTACCTTATGAGCACAATATAGACATACATGGTCTCCCACTATATATTCCTGGGGAACTTGTTTCCCTTTGCTGCAGTTGTCCCATTAATCTTGTATAGTCACAGGATACAAATTGGACAGTAGGATAACTTGGTCACTAACTTTAATACAAAAGCTGCATTTCATATCACAAAAAGCTTGAGGTAGCAAAGGACCCCTGGTGACCAACCTGTTCAAGTCTGCTGCTCAAGCCAGGCCACCAAGAGTCAGTTGCTCAGAACCACATCCAGGTGGCTTTTCATTACGTTCAAGGATGGAGACTCCATAAGCTCTCTGGGCAACCTGTGCCAATGCTCACTCACCATCACTGGGAAAAAGCGTTCCCTGATGTTCAGAAGGAACAGCTTGTGCTTCAGTTCGTGCCCACTGCTTCTTGCCTTGTCACAGGGCACCACTGAAAACAGCCTGGCTCCATCTTCTTTAGCACCTTCCTTCAGGTATTTATATACATTGATAAGATTCCCCTAAGCCTTCTCTTCTCCAGGCTGATCTGTCCCAGGTCTCTCAGACTTTCAGAGGAAAGATGCTCCAGCCCCTTCATCATCTTTGTAGCCCTTCACCGGACTCTCTCCAGTAAGTCCGAGTCTCTCTTGTACTGGGGAGCCCAGAAGTGGACACTGTACTCCTGGTGTGGCCTCACCAGTGCCAAGTAGAGGGTAAGGATCCCTTCCCTCGACCTGCTGGCAACATCTTCCCTAACGCAGCCCAGAACACCATTAGCTGCCTGTGCCACAAGGGCACATTGCTGGCTCGCATTCAACCTGCTGTTCACCAGCACCCCGGGTCCTTTCCTGCAAAGTCCCTTTCCAGCAACATGGCCCCCAGCACATATTCATGCATGGGGTTCTTCCCCTCCAGTGCACTGCCTACATACAAAAATGAATTATACAAGAACTCTGCTCTACCAGATTATGGCCTTCAGTTGGGAGGGGATGACTTTGGGGGGAGAAAATTGACCAACACTTCCCAACTACCACAGACATTGCTTAAACTCCTCCACCTTCAAAGTTCAGTTATCTAGCATAAAGTCATATAATTCCTACAAAATGGTAAACTACAAGTATCCTTCAAAATACTGATACAAAGTATCAAATATTTAGTTTCCATTTTGTAGGCCTGGTAGATAATTTTAAAGAGTAGACTTTATTGATAACATACTTTTTTTTTAAAAAAAAAAATCTTCCCTGACAGATGCTTGTTCTGACTAATTCCTACTAGGACTGGAGGAAGTGATAAAAATGAACACAAGGAGAATGTTAATCATGCCAAAATGCACATTCAACTGACTTCTGACGAGCCCATCAACAACAAAAGACATACAAGTTAGATAAACAAAAAAATACACTATTTTTTAATTTAACCCACGCAGAGAGAAGCAAGACCCACTTGGTTTTAGATTAAACATATACCGATTTTTACTTTCAGAAAACCCAGCTTCCATCAGCATATACTCTGAAATCTGATCCCTTTGGCACCTCTAGATGTTTAGCTTCAAAACAGGATTAACAGAAAGCTTCCTGTAAGGAGTTATTTTGTACAGTGACCAATGTGCACAGCTAGAATGTACACAGAATAAATACCAACATCACAAGTACAAAGGAAGTAAGACTGAAAACACCAGCTTCTCCCTCCCTTAAAATTCAAGGAAAATTTAACATATTCAAGTCTACCATGCACAAATTCAAGGGAAAGTGAACTGACAATAGTCAATTTACACAGAGAAGTAAAATACTCTATTCTTTGCCTCCAAGAAATAAGGGGAAAGAACTGCTGACCCTTTCTTCCCGACTCTAAATATTACCTGTGATGGGTGGCGATCTCTCAGCACGTTTAGCATGTAAGAGTTTTCGACTAATAAATATGTAGCCACAGGGACATGATTTACATGCAACAGGAACCTAGGAAAACAAAAGACAGAGATTTCAGTTCATTTCAAATTATGACAAATTTCCTGTCCAATGAAGAAAAAAGCCCCCAAGTAACTCACATTTTGTCCTCACAGATACCTCCTCAAATTCAGTCTGTACTGCAAACTATGGCCTGTACTATTATACAATTATATTTAAACACAGTAAAAATAGGCTCTGCTGTGAATCACCCAGCAAGCCTTTTCTTCATGCAGTTGTTAGAAAACAAGCTTGAAATGTATAGCTGTTGTGACTGTTTTGTACTGCAAACCCTTTTCCCCAGACTGTCAGGAAGGGGGTGGGGGAAAGCGGAAAGCACTAAAACAAGGGTGAATTAGTATAAAAATACATTTTCTCTTCAGAGCTCTCAAATATCCCCAATCAAATCAGTCAGACATTCCCAGTTTTGCTTCCTTCATTTACTTCTGAAAATAAAGAAAAAGTATTAAAATTGTCAGTACATTCTGAATACACCCACTTTCAGAAGCATCTGAAAGCAACTCCTTTAGAAAGCAGGAGCAGCTTTAAACAGGAGGCACAATAGAGCCCGAAGCAAAACAGATGTATTTGTACCACACTACAACAGCGTAGTAGACAAGGCCGGGTGGTTACAGAAGGACCTAGTTAATTCAAAATGCAAATAACCTACCACAGCTAGTTCCACCACCATAAGACAATTTAAAACAAGATCAGAAAATCTAGAAATGCCACACTTACATGAAAAATGCCAAAAAACCCCACCTTACTCTGAGCAATTAATAAAGGTGATGCTGATTAATTAATCACAAACCTCATTACCTTCACTTAAAGCCAAGATCTTCTGAGACCTTTTAAAGTAGTAAGGAATATACCATATTGCTTTGATTAGGTTTAAGACTGAAAACACAAATCAAAGCAAGTTTAAACAGAGATCTGGAAGAGATTAACGTAACACACATTAGAGTCAAGTCATGTTGAAGCACGACAGTGGGGAAAAAAGCAGGAGGTAATTTCTCAGATATAATTCTTTAACACAGTTCTCTACAACTTCACCAACGTCCACTGAAACAAACAGAACCATGACTGCCTGCTCAATTTTACTGGACATGCAGAAAAACCAAGTTCCATTGTTCTACTGGCTAGGAAAAAGCCTGCCAAATTCATACATGAATCTGTAAAGGGGAACTTTAACTGCTACTCAGAACAAACAGATTATTTTGCTTTGTGTAGCACATCTTAACTCCTGTACTTCACCATATGAACAGCTTACAGACAGCCTTTTGATATTGGTTTTATATAACTAGAGACTTTTTAATTCTCTTTATGGAGACATCGACATCATAAATTCTAATCAAGGTTTATTGAACCTTAAAACTCAGAATTTAGCAGACTTGTGTGCACACTTATCTCCTTGTTCATATGTCAGTATAAGAGTACTAGAAAACCCTACCTAGCAGAGCTTGTCTGTATTGTTAGGGTGATACAGGAGTTCCATTTAAACCCATTTTTGAACATCTGGGTCTTGCCAATAATTACGTTTCCAGGCTCAGCCTAAAAAAAAAATTGGGGAACACCACCCAAGGGGATTGGAGCAGATCCAATATTTTTCAGTGAACTTAACCATGTTTAAGATTGTTCTCCTGTTACAGGTTTGGCATGTAGGAGCAAGTGCCATTGTGTGTGTGAGGGGGAATTAGGTGGGAAGGGGCTTCTTCACCGAAATGTATGGGTTATCCTTTGAAGATCTATCCTGATAACATCCTGTGACATAATTAAGGCAACATAGCCCTACAAACACTATTTTACCATTTAACATTTTCCTAACCAAAAAGAAATTTGGATTCTCATACAAGAAAATTTACCCAAAGATAAATTAAGAAATAATTATTTCTTCTGATTGACTGAAAGGCTCTCTAGTTTAACAGGGCCGTACTTTGGTTGGGAAAATATATTCAAAAACTTTTTTTGAAAAAAAAATTTTAAAGAAGTCTAAATAGCAACTATATCATCTAAATTACAACAAAAAGTTTAAAAGCGTAAGAAGTGTTACTCAATATTATGCTTCAGTATTTGTGGCTGTCTAAATATTTCCATGCGTGCCACTTTTAGCGAAGAAATCAGAAACAAATGCAAAGCTCTTGTTTATGGAAAAATTTAAGAAACGCCAGTACAGGACACAACCACTTAAGAGTCACACAAGAGCTTCCCCACAGCGTGCAAAGGGCTGACTTGTACTGCAAGTTTTAGGTTCTTGTCCTGTCTCAAGCATTTGGCACTGAAAAACAAGGCCTTATGAGCAATGCTTGTGCCGGGGCAGAACACATATGCACGTTAATTCCACGTTAGCCACAGAAAAGCTGCTAACAGAAAATCTATACTGACATATGCATATCATGTGGTTTAGTTTTAAAGCACAGAACAAAGTGAAAGTTTCAGCATCAGCTTAAAAATAATGTTTACTTACTTGCTCTTCCTATTGTTGGTGGTTTGACATTCACTACATTTACTTAAAAAGAAAAAAAAGGCAACCAAAACCCAAAAAAGCCCCACCACCACTCTCATGCTCTTCACTCAATTTCTTCTTTAGCCAACTGAATAACCAGAACTTGGCACACAATTTTTTCTCATAAATAGAACTTCAGTGACGTGCTTAACGTGTGAGAATTTGCAGTGGTTCATGTATTGCTTAAAAGATGAAAAGAAGGCCCCACACAGCTTAACATTCCAAACTGTTCCAGGATGAAACACTACGAAACCCGTGCAAGTCAGAACAAGCAAGATGACTTTTTAAAAATCTTTTTAAGTGAAGAAAAATGGCACGAGATTATTTAACTATGGCTAAAATAGGATATACCAGTCAAGTTTCAGGATCTAACAGCAGCACCGTGTCTCTCCTGCTTACATGTGGGAGGCTCTCCCCTAGCCCGAGCCCCACAGCTGCCTTCTGCAGCGCTGCGCTATTGTTCCAGCAGAGGAGCACTGCTGGAACAAACCGGCCTATTTTTAACAGTAACATCACTACCAGTGAAGAGCGTAAATGAAGACAAGCTCGTGATACAGTAGCAGTGAAAATTTGCTGTTGTTGATGTTTAAGTATCTCCATTTTTCGCACGTAACAAAACTGCGGCGAGACATCAACAGCTCACGTATGCATTTGGATTACACGAGAGAAATCGCAGTGAAGGCTCAATTTTGCTGTTTCTAAACTGCTCCGTGAGAAAACAACACAACTGAACGCTCTTCCGACTAACCTTGGGCACATTAGTCATCCAAAGGGAGAACTGCATTATAAAATTACTAAGTGCATGGTATTTTTAATAAATTGCATAGTTACTAAACAATACTAGCACATAAACAAACAATACTGCACGTCGTAAAGAAATCCCTCAGCATAACGTAACCACCACGCTACCCTGAAAGCGGAACACGGTATTTAATCCACATTCCAAGCAGGGACTGCAAGGGCAACCATCACCTACATCCTCTAAACACTGCTCCACAGCGGCACCGAGGCAGCCGCGTTTTTCCCCTTCCTCCCTCAATATCAAACCGCTCCACCGGCAGCCGCACGACGCGCGGCGGGGGGCACCAGGCGGGGGGCACCAACCGGCTGCCGCAACCGACGCCCGGCGGAGCGAACGGGAAGCCGGGTCTGCCCGG